CTTCCTGAGGCAGCGAAGGTTGCCCTTTTCCACGGGGCCTTTCCACAGAGCCCCCAAGGTGGTGAAGCAGTGAGCACAGCGGGATTAGGTTCCGATGGGAGCCCAGTCGTTTTTCGGGTTGGGACGCCAGTAAGTAAGAAGACGGTTAATGGGTGCACCTGGCCAACTGGAATTGAGCGAGAGAGGTTATCGCCCCTGCTATCTGGGTTGCTTACTGGTTATGGAAAGATGAGGTTATGGCCACACTACCCAATAAAAGGGGGTCTCTCCACCAGTGGTGTAAATTGGAGGTTTCCCATGTTACCGTGGTTTGAAATGCACTCATCAGTGCTGATTCTTTCTAACCCCAAAATATTCAATTCAATTTATTTTTATATAGCCCCTTAAACAACAAGCACCCAGGCGCTTAACAAAGCAAGTGACCATACATGTTGTGAACACAGAACAGAAAAGACCAGAAGACAACGGAGGAGAGGAACCAAAAACTCCTTAGTAAGGAGAAAAGAAAACCTCCATGGGTCCAACCCCTTTGGGCATGCTAACATTATATAATTAAAAAAGGAATAAATGAATGAGGGTATTAATCCATCCATCCATCATATCTTCTGTATGTCAGTACTCCATGCAGATCTCTGTAGACCAGTGAAATCCTCCTAAACGATAGCTATATCCACGATGTCCCTCTTGGATCCATGGCAGTGATGCAGCCCGGGTGCCATCCGGACATGTGGGGAGGAGAATAGGATAGTTGGGTGAGAGCAGATGTATCTACCTGGTGGGCCAACACAGAGACACACAATGGCATGGACAGCAGCCCCAGCAGTCATGGTTGCAGCAGGCTATGATGTCAGGTGTGGGCAGGCTAGGCTGAAGTAATAGGTCTTCAGTCTGGATTTAAATCCTGAGATTGACTCGGCATCCCGCATATGGGCTGGCAGACTGTTCCATAAACTAGGGGCTCTGTAGCTAAAGACTTTACCGCCAACTGTTTTTTTATTAATGCGTGGAATATGAAGAAGACCTGCATTCTGTGATCTAAGCAGGCGACTTGGATGGTATACATTAATAATCAGTTCCATTAGATAGACAGGTGCCTGACCTCTGAGAGCCTAATAAGTAGAAGGATTTTGAAGTCCAGAGCACCCTGATAGTAGGGCATCGCAGTAGTCTGACCTGCTGTATACAAGAGCATGTATTCATTTCTCTGTGTCTTTGAGTGGAGAGAAACTGCCTTAGTTTTGCAATATTTCTTAACTGTACGAAGCATGTTTTCAATACTGTTTTAACATGAGAAATATAAAAATGGTGATGCAGTTCCCCCTTAAACAGAAGACTCTTCCCCCAGTAAGAGGCACCCCACCACTGGGGAAGACCACCGATTTGCACTCCAGGGAAGCTGTATCCCACATTTTCCTAGACTGATCCTTTCCCCTGCCTGCACCCAGAAGGCCCAGTGGTGCTGCTGACTGTCCACTCCTCCCCTCTGTCCGAAACAGCTGTGTGGATCCGCCGGCCCCGCCGGATCTGGGTGACCCCCACGCCGACATCCACACCGCGATTCTCGCCTGTAACCCCCTGAAGAGGCTGAAGGCGACGGGCATCGAGAGGTAGGGGCACGGCGACGCCCACTCTTGCACGCTCACATTCCAGAACGGCCCTCGGAGCTCCGGAGCGTCTCGGGTGCGTGTGGGAGCCTCCGGCTGGAAAAGTGTGGGATGACCTTTTCCTAAGGGGACTCCTTCACACTCAGTAGTGAAACAAGGTCACAGCGATGACAGCTGGGCAATTGAGGGGAATTCCTTTGGGACAGAAGTGGAAAAACACTTCTTTAGTCAAAAGGGTGGTGGGTGCCTGGAAGTTGTGCATCTTTAATAAGAGGCTCGATGCAATTTTTGCGCAGCTAATAAACTCCCCAGCGAGCATGACGGTCTGAATAGTCTTCTGTCAGCCGTTGTGTGAAATGACACGAGGCCAGTGAAGAGGAAGCACTGTTTGAAAGCGTGCTCCTCTGCACCGGTCCCGGTCTCTGTCTGCGGGGCAGGTTGTTAATGATGTGTGGTTCTCGTTGAGATGTGTGTGAGAGGAGATGAGCACTAGGCCACTGGCTTCGATCTGGAGCAATTAACTGTTCTTCGAGAAGGTTGATCTTGTGAAGATTGAGGGGTGAAGGGTGAAGGGTGAAGGGTGAAAGGTGTGTTCTGAATCAGGTCTCCGGGAGGCACCCCGATCTGCACCCCCCGTAGGAGCCGGCTGGCCGGGGGCCAGGAGAGCTCCCCTGCCTCTGCCTTCAACACGGCGCTGCTGTCCAAGTTCAGGAGCGCCCAGAGCCCGGCTCCGGAGGCCCCCCCCGCCGACTCCCCGGGCAGCAGCTGCAGCGACGGCTCTGGGTTCGCCACCCCCCCGGGATCACCCTGACCCCCGGGACCCAGCGCAGCCCCCCG